GACTCTGCATTTATTTTTCTAATTCAAGTTGCCACACCTCGGGAATTCCCCTCTGCCCACCCAGGGGAATATGTACAGTGGAACACTGAGGACAGGATCATGAACCCAATGCTACAAAGGCCAGAGAGCACTGTAAATGAGAGACGTAGGCCTGGTGTGATGTTAGGAGGACATGCAGAGTATGGCAAACACAAACTCTTCTAAAGGGAGCCCCAGACTATTGTGCAGGAGAATGCAGGCCCTTGTTCTATTTTCAGATTATTCAAGAGAAGCTGGGAGTCTGGATCCTTGTGTAAAGCCTGATTTATTAAACATTTTAAAATTAAAAGGATTAGACCATTATCCAAGCACCCTAAACACACCTCTGGGAACCAAATCTAGTGCCTGAGCTACTCCTTTTTGACTTCTACTGTAGGTGGATTTGAAAACATCTTTCTGTTACCTAATGTCATATGCATCATTCTCAGTTGAAAACATCCCATACATAAAACAAAAATGCTTTATTAATTATTATTATTATTATTATTTTTAATAATAATATTATTATTATTAAAAATGCTTTATTTATTTATTAAATTTTTTATTAAGCCAACTGAATTCTGACACTGAGAATCTATCCTGCTGTTAACAGAAAACTCCATCAAAACAGTCTTTCCCTGGGGTCCAGCCATCCCCTCTGAGGTCTGACCTCCCCTTATCCCAGTCCTAATGATAATCATGCTCAGTGCTTGATTAACTAGTGTGTGCCTAGCAGTTGACCAGAAGGTATTTCTTTAGGAAAAAAATTCTCATTCTCTCTCCTATAACACAGCCTCCAGTGTGCTCTTTTAATTTAGAGGCCCATGAACACACTTTTTCCAAATGTAGTGGCAATGGTAACACCAATGCCACTACCTTGGCCTATTTGTGTCCTATTACTTTTCTTGGCTTGATTATTAGAACTTTTCTTTGCTATGCAGTGTCATTTTCCCCTAAGTTATATGTAGAAACAATGCACTGTTGTTGATTTCCTACAGATCACATTTAACATACAGAGCATTAATGTACAGAGTTTATTTTATCAGACTTGTACAAAACTGTGTGGTAGTCAAATCAGTGAAATCCTTTTATTCTGTATAAAACCAAAATCACACACACACACACACACACACACACACACACACGCTCATACACTACAATTATTTGTTGAAATAGTAGGTTGTTGGAAAATCAAATAACAAAATGCAATTTTGTTGTTCAAAAGTA